TTTGACAAACAAAGAAAATCTACCAGCTACCTAGTGAATCTGCTTTTAACTGTTATACCTGAAGCCTAGTAAAACCAACAACATATCAAAGTTTTGAGCATTATAGTCGTAGCTAACCTACATCCGGCCTTCTTCTTCTGTTGTGCAATGCCGGTTGGCAAACAGCTTTAGGTGCATTGCCGCCACCTTCTACATCCGGTCCAACAGCCAGCAGAATTATTTGAGTAGATGCTACGTTTCAAAATAAAAATAATCTCTCGATTTGTCTTGTCCAAGCTTTCTTACGCCAAAAAACTTTATTTTGAAAGCAACCCGTAAAAACACCGGTAAAAGGCTGTCCTTTTCTTTCGACATATATCTATATCACTTGGATTTATCTATATTGAATTTAGCCTTTTGGTTTCACATAAAATTAACATGTCAAAGCACAAGAATTCGTACTTGTAATACAACTACGTAACGCAGCTTTCAAAGTGGTATTTTTGCATCGATACATCCATTGCGGAACTGTAGAGCAAACCTGTTTGCGTGGGAAGAATTTGAGCCTAACACGGTCTCATTCAGGCTGATGCAAGTAATTTCACAGCTGTGGAAGGAAAACTGTACGGTGATCTTTCTAGTCATTTTATTATTTTAAAATTTGTAGCTATCTTATCATTAATTATAATGTCCCAGTATTGTACCATGTACAATATTTAATTTATTAAATTGATCAGAGTATGGATATCTGATGCCTAGCTATTTAATAGCTATGGTATGATAACATATGTGAACAGTTCAGTTTTACTAATACTATTAACCTAAGTCTACATAATACTTACATTTTACCTATGCCATATGCTTTGTAACTAATTACTTTATTCCTGTCTCTTGGACAGTGTGAAGATGGAAGACTGTCAGGGAGACAGGGAAGTGGCAAGGAGTGCAATGGAGGTCTATGAGAAACTGAAAGCACAAGGAGACAAAGTCAGGGCCTTGAAAACAGCTAAAGCAGACAAAGTAAGTGCCTATGAACGACCTTGTAAAAACAGTGATTTAACGCTATGTGTTTGCTATTAAAGCATGGTTACAGTAAATAAAAACTAAAATCATATTATGGTCTCATTTTATTTAAAAAAAAAAAGTGTTCGCTTTTATTCGTGTGGCTTATCTGACAGCAGTGTTTGGGTTCCCCAGGCTGAAACTGATGCTGCTGTCCAGTTGCTGCTAAAGTTGAAAGTGGATTACAAACAGATGACAGGTCAGGATTACAAAGCAGGTTGTCCACCTGCACACAACTCTGTTGCTCCTGACAATGGGCCAGTAGCTGATGGTGCTGATGATGAAGACACAGTTGACCCATGGAACGTTTCCACTACCAGTGCCAAAGGGGTAGACTATGACAAACTCATAGGTACGATTCAAATGAGCTCCAAGTGTTGAAGTTCCAAGAGCTGAAGTTCTATGCTTTTGTGCACTTTAAAATGAACAGTTAACATCATATCATGTCTTTCAATAGTGAGATTCGGCAGCAGTAAAATTGACAAGGAGCTGGTGGACAGAATAGAAAAGGTCTCAGGACACACACCTCACCGCTTCCTAAGAAGAGGAATCTTCTTCTCACACAGGTTAGCATTTCTACCACACAGTCACCGTGACTTCTACCAAATGACAAGTGATCAAGTGATCATGTGGCACATTGTATATTGTGATTTAGCTTGCCAGTATAGAAGTATCTACTCTTATTCAGATTTTCTTATTCTTTCAAATGGACGGTCATGGGGAGGGGAGAGTTAATGCGAGAATGTTGCATTAATGAATTACTTTCTTCTTATCGCTGTTTTTGGCAGAGATATGCATCAGGTACTGGATGCATATGAGAAGCACAAGCCCTTCTACCTTTACACTGGCAGAGGTCCATCCTCAGAGGCCATGCATGTTGGCCACCTCATCCCCTTCATTTTCACAAAGTGAGTTCTCCGTTCTCAAATTATGGTCTCAATCCTTCACTTGTATACCTGATAGAACTTGTATAATTTAAACCGATTCTAAGATATAACTGACACCCACTTCCTTGTTCCAGATGGCTTCAGGATGTATTTGACATCCCCCTGGTGATTCAGATGACTGATGATGAAAAGTACCTGTGGAAGGATCTTACAGTAGAAGAATGCCACCGATTTGCTGTGGAAAATGCCAAGGACATCATCGCCTGTGGTTTTGATGTCAACAAGACTTTCATCTTCTCTGATCTTGACTACATGGGGTAAAATATGACAAAAAAATACTATCTTTATATTTCTGACAGACCTTATTACTGAGTTTTCCTAAGATCCATAGATGACCCTCCATGTTTAGCATAGTTTTTATTTTAGTCTGAATATTTTTTTAATGTGTTCATTTCAATGTATTTTCCCACAGTGCATCCCCTAAATTCTACAGGAATGTGGTTAAGGTCCAGAAGCATGTTACATTTAACCAGGTCAAAGGCATCTTTGGTTTTACAGACAGTGACTGCATTGGTAAGACAACTTCTGCGAATTATAAACAAAAACATTTCACTATGAGCATTCATTAAAATCTTCTTCTTTGGAAAGAGGAAGAAACAGGAAACTAACTGATTAATGCAGGAAAAGCAGTTCCCATGTTTCCCATATTAAAGAGCAATGTGCTGTGAATGCCAACTTTTGTAACTACTTTGTAAACTGTTTTAAAGAGCCAAATGCTCAGGTTTTTACATGATAGAGGAAAATAACTAAATCTCAGATTAGCTAAGACAGTCACCGTTTTGTTTATTTATTTATTTTTAGCTTATTATCCTGTTTGTGGTTATACTGAATTATGTCCTGATCGTGATGTGTGGCTGTGAGAACATTTTGTCAGTATTTTATGGTGTTTTTTTTTTTTTTTTTTTCTATCCAGGAAAGATCAGCTTCCCCGCCATCCAGGACG